GTTTAAACCAGTCTCTGATCACTTAAACCAGTTTATGTGCAACTTGTGTCCCTAGCCTTAGGGCCATGGATCACTTGTCGTACCAAACCAGGCCAGACCATTGCTTCTTCATGTCATCACACTTAAGTTTATCTATTGCTCTGCCACCCCTCCCAACTTTACTCGTTTTGTCTTTTTCACATATATTAGTTACGTCTAAATTTTTTTGTCCTCTGTTACTACTTTTCTGATTTTTCCCCCATTGGATGTCTGAATCTCTAGCTCCATTAACTTGCCCTCTCATTTTTCAAAGACTTTGCTGTTTTGCATCCATACGTCTGATGTCTTGAAGTTTCTTTTAAGACATTTCTCTATCCTGATGAGTGCCAGCAACCTTTCAAGTGTAGCTTATCTTGAAGGGAGAAAATTAAAATAACTAGTGCTCAGTTTATGAAAAAAAGTGAACAAGATAGGAGCTAAGTTGTTACTGCAATGCCCCACTAGACGTTTCTTAATGTAGGAACAGAACAGAGGCTTGGCTCTTCGGACCCTACCTGTCTAGTAGTACTACTGCTGGATTTCAGTCTGTAGTTGTATTTTTTGTACAAAGTAGCTCTATATTAGCAGCATTGAAGTCAGACTTATTGAAGAGTCACTGCTGGGATCACGGGTTTTTGTGCACTGATTTTAAGTTGTGGGCAAGTTTATTCTTAGTCTCCTGCTTCTGGTGCTGCTACAAAAAGTGTGCGACTTAGGAATGGTTCAGTAAGCAAGCATTCTCTAAACAACTTAAGGTATATTCCAGGGACTAGCATGTTAACACCCCCCAACAGACATTCCCCACTTGCAAAAAAAAGAAAAGGCCTACTTGCCCAGGGAAGTGTCCTTTTACATTTGAATGAAATAAAGGACAATTGTGGGCCAAAAACAGGACACAGATTAAGTACCTTGCACTGTTCTATTGGAGGTATGATAAGCCATATTGAGTGATGTTGTATGGTCCTTAGTATGTTTATTGCTGAAACACAAGAAAAAGCACAACCAATATTGACTTGTTATATAGCCTATTACATCTGAAGTGAGGGAGCATCACTTAGCATAAGGAATACGCTACAAATATTGGATGAACCCGACTATTTATGTCTCAGTACCAGTCAAATTTTGAGAATATAAATTCATGCTCAAATACTCCCTTCACTGGCAATAAAATTGCTGCTGAGGCAACAGTCTGCTTAAGGGAGTGCTGTGCTTCAGCTGGGGTGGCATAGTGTGCTGTTGGATGGGGAAGAAAACCCCCCCCCATTGTAGACAGAGTCACTAATTCTGAGATGGAAAGCTGATGTTACATTAAAATTCTTGCCAAGCAGAAATGATCCTAGGTAAGTGGGAGAAGTGTGTGCATGTGTGGGAGGGAAATGTAGCTCTATGTACATTATGGCATAATAACAAGTCATCCAGAGAGTGGGGCAGCAGAAAGTGACCAAAGATGTGGATATGGCAGTAGTGCCAAATAGAGGAGAACTTGAAAAAGAAAGCATCTTCTAAAGCTAGTCACCCTTCCAACACCAAAGAAGCCTGTAAGCTAGATTCCACACCCATGAAAAGCAGATCACTTGATAAACAGACAATATAAGACCCTTAAGAAAAGGTGCAAGGAGTTGCTTACTAGACATACAAATGAGCCACAGGCACTCCTTAAAAGACATGGCTGTAATTCTCATACCCGGTAAAAAGATTTTTTTTTCCCAAAATCAGGGACCTCGTTTCAAGCTTCTAAATCTACATGTAGACAAGTAAGAGGCCTGAACACTCAAAAACTTCCATTTATCACTGGAAATAAACTGAAACATGAAGAATCAGAGACCCTGAGTTCTGAAGTGTACAATTTTAGAAGATTAACATCTTTACACTTACTAGTTGTCTTGTATTTATTCAAAGATGCTGCCAAGTGTCAGTTATATTTAATGTCTTCACCAACATAGCCTAAGATCCTGCATTTGGAATATTCTTCCAAATATTATTTGGAAGAATAAATTTTCTCCTCATTCTGGTAAAAAAGGATCTTTTCCCTTAATTTTTTAAAATAGTTTAACTCATTTGACCTTGTACGCAGAATTATGTTTCTGTGAAAAAAAATTCAAGAGACGCTCAAAAGTAACAAATAAAATAACATGTGCATTTTATTAGAAAGCCTTTCTTCTCCTGAGCAAAAAGATTTACAACACAGCATGCAAATGTATTAATAAATAATTTCACTGTACAGTCTGTACTCATGACAATAGTGCAACAAAACTAGCAGCTGAACAAATTTCCAGCATTTAGTTATCTCAGAGTGAACACTAACATATTTTCAAACAGAGTTTCACTGTTAGTAGTGTCAAAGCATTAACAAAAGTTAGAATGATTCATTCCACCCTGCATCTAAAACCAGCTGGACATGAACCCCTTAATTACTTACATTTCAGAAAATTGAGTCAGATATTTTGTCAATTATGCCCTTTTCTAGTTGGCAAGCTGATTAAAATGCAGAAGAAAAATTAGCAACAAAAAGGTAAAATAGAATCTGAATCTTTGCATCACTGAATATGTCAGCATAATTTTAACAATGGCTTTCCTGGTGAGAAACTGGGGGAAGGGTATCCAAGAGCTTGATATATTTTGCAAGGTTCCTACTTAAACTCCTTATACATGTAATCAGGTAACTGAATAGACGAATAGCAAATTATGGCCATTTGCACATAACGGGCTTTCATGTGCCATCAAAATAATTGCACATGCATCTCTGGTGCACCCCTGCACATCCAAGTTGTTAAAAAATTTAATTCTAAACATCTGGATTGCAGAATACACTTTCCTAAAAGAAAATGATAAATTTTGGACATTTGGTATTTGACAATATCCCTTTTTAAGGGAGGCAATAAATCAGAAGCATGACTTTCACCTAACAGAACAGCATCATAGAAAAGGGCTAGTTTAAAGAGAAAACCATCTCATCATAAACTCCAAAAAGGGGTGTAGTAGGAAAGCAACAACTTTACTTAGAAATACAGGATAACAAAGATAGTTTTTTGACAAGTAACGTCCAGTCATTGCACTTACACTAATACATTGCACTTATAGAAGTAGATTCCTAGCTTTGGCAAAAAAGCAGCATGCAATGCAGATTGATTACTGATTACAGCAGAGCATGCAGTATGATGGCAAAATCTTGAACATCTCTAGGAAACTTGAAAATAAATTCAAAAGCTCAGATTATTCAAGTAAGAAATAAAAAGTGAAAGGCAGGTAAAATATATGTCCCATATTCTTCCTACCCTTTATCTTCTCCAAGAAACCAGAACAAGCAATAGAGGTGAACTGGAGATGGAGGAAAGATTAGCATCTGAGCAAATCAGGTTTGGTTTTATCCAAGAACTTCACTATTCCTATTAGTTCACAACCACCTCAATTCATCAGGTAAGTTACAATGAATATATTGATAAAAACAACATGAAAAGAAAATAGCTGTCTGTTTGCATCTGTTTCCAAAAAGAAAAGGCACAGGTGGTCTAACATCTTAATTTGGCCCTTGCTCTTATTAATAGAGAAAAATAGCAGCATATTATAAAAGGAAAGATTGGCAATTACTATTCAAGCATAAAAATCAAATTTTCGTGTTTTGAAAGAGCTCAATTATGTTGGGTCATTAAACAGGGAAATGCATGATGGTCCAACATAATCAGTGACAGAACATCCTGCTTGGCACTTATAAAGCAGATAAAATAATGACCCAGTTTTAAAAGCAGTATTCTATCCATCAGTTTTATTCTATCTGCAAAACGTTAGTACTTTGCTTCAAAGAATGATACCGCAAAATACTCTTCTCTCTTGGCCTTTTCAAGGTTTTAAAAAAAATTCTTCAGCTTCAATAACCAAAAGTTTTCACAGGAGTTGGAACAGAGGGGAAAAGGAAGGTAGATTTCATGCAAACATCACACATGACAGAATAAAAGAAGAAACAGAAATATCTCTTTTCCATTTTCTAGTTCACAGATGAAAGGGCCCCATGCTGCAGGGCAGAATTTGTTTTCTACCATAATACTAGGAAATACAATTAGCAGAATGGGGAAAACTGACATAAAATTGAAGGAAAGTGATGTTGGGGCAGGGAGGAAGGGAAGAAAGAGTTGTGTAATCTCTTCGGAGAATATAAAAAAAACCTCCCTTCAAATTAGTTTAAGCCAGAATGTTTTGTGATTCTGAAAACCACAATTGTGGCCAAGTTTACACAATGGACGTCTAACAAAATCCGCAGAAATCTTCATTTCCACTGGGGAACATGTACACGCACACAAAACAGGGATTCTTCTGAAAAAGACTGCTTTGATTGAAGTGACTCTCCACCTAATAATGCTGCTGGCTCACTTCTGACGGACTGTAGTGTTTTTATTTATATAGCGCTGCATAAGAGAAGGACAGAGCTTGCCCAGAGGGAAGTGGTGTTTATGTTGGTAACTCTTTCAGCAACATCCAGAATTGAAATACCACACACCAATGTATTGTTAAAATGTCATTAGCACATCACGTTCCTGCACACTAGTGTAGAAGGGTCTCCCAAAAATAAAGGAATGTAGACCTGGTTTGATCTTCTCAGCTAAAGCCATTATTATGTTAAGATCGCCCTCTGCTGTTAAGTCAAGGTCTATCTTTAAGCTCCGAAGAGACTTAAAAGCCTTTTTTCCTTTTTGCCTGCAAAAGTAACGGAACAAACAAACAAAATAACATTTTTAGAGTACAGAATGATTTTTAGTGAACAGCAAGAGATTCCCATACCCTGCGTTTCCAATATCTTTTTACTTACGTGTCATCTTCTATGTACTTTATAAGAGTTAAAGCTTTTCTGTGAAGGACTAACAGGAACTGTGCAAGGAAAGCACTCCTCAGAGACAAGCCAGGTTTCAAATGAAAGATCTGTTAGAAGTAACAGTAGAAAATTAGCTAAACATGTTATATGTTAAGCCTATATCATTCAAATTCCATTCTAAGAATGAATCTAAACTTAAGTTGCAGTTCTCCAAGAGTTCCTGCAGCAGGTATATTAAGCAGCCAGGCACTTTAAACTGAAAACAACTTTTAATTATACTCCTGGCCAGGGAACAATCCCATGATTCAGCAATTCTCCCTCACCCCTCTGCACTCTAGTTCAAAAT